TTTCATATATGTGTTGGACATTTGCATTTCTTCTTTTGAGAAATGTTGTTTAGTTAAGTAAACCTATTTATTGGCTGGATGGTTGGGTTATACATTTTCTTGGTGTTACCTTTTTTTTTTTTTGAGTTCTATTCTGGTATTTATCCAAAAGAACTAAAATCAGCATACTAGAAAGATATATTTATTCCAATGTTTATAGCAGTGCAATTCACAATAACCAAGTTATGGAATCAGCCCAGGTGCCTGGCATAAAGAAATGCATAAAGGAATGCAAAAAGGAATGCATAAACAAAATGTGATATATGAATATACACACACACCCCACTACACACAAACACAATGGAGTTCTACTCAGTCATAAGGAAGAATGAAATTATAACATTTGCTGACAAATCAATGGGACTGCAGAAAATCATTCTAAGTGAAGTAAGCCAGACTCAGAAAGCTAAGAATCATATGTTTTCTCTCATACGCAGAAGCTAGAGAGAAAAAAATTAATTTTTTAAAAAAGGATCTCAATAATATAGAAGGGAAAACAGTAGACTACAGGAAGGGGATCTAGAAAGAGGGAGGATGGGAGGGAAAGAAGAGGTACTGGGGAATAAAACTGACCAAATATGTTATGTGCATGCATAAATATATTTTTTGTATACTTATAATGCACCAACTTGAAAATATAAATAGAATGAAGAACATCAGAGTAGAGCAATGAGATTTGGGGATGGGAGGAAGAAAGGGAAAATACTGGGGAAAGAAATGGAACAAACTATGTTAAGTACAAGTATGAATATGTCCCTATGAGCCCCACTATTATTTATAATTATAATGCACTAATAAAAACACAGAAAAGAAACAGCATTTGAAGAATCAATGGCTGAAAATATTCCAAGGCTATTAAAGAATTAAGCCATCTATTTCAGAAGCTCCACAAGCACTAGATAAGATAAACACAAAACAATTTCTCAGCCTGTCAAAATAAATCTTATGAAAATAAATAAAAATTAAATTGTATTATATTCATGTTATGGAATGGTATATTGGAGCAAGGACAAATGATTTATAATTACTTGTAACAGTATTTTTAGTCGATATAATGTTTAGTAAATCAAGACATAAAATGAGTAGAATAATGGTTAACTTTGGGAGAGTAATAATGACTGAAAAATAAGGGACAGAAAGCATGGTAAATCATAAAAGAGATTGCATTAAATAACATTGTCTTATGGGATTTAAATGTATGCAAATAGATATGTATATGTTCATGTATAATAAATATTTTATTTTAGTATATTGAGTATATTTATACATAACAGTTATATTAAATTAGAAAGAAGTAACAAAAGATAAATTTAAAATTTTCCACATATTTGCAAAATTTGGCAATATCCTTTCCGAATAAATCATTAGACAAAGAGAAAATTGTAAAGAAAAATAGAAACACTTTAAACAGATGATAAAAATATGACATTTTAAAGCTTGTGAAGTGTAACTAAAGCTGTGCTTAGAGAAGTATGAATAATCTTGAAGGCATATTTTGGAAATAAACATATAAAAACTGATAACTTAGTTATCTCAAGCTATTAGGAAAGAAGAGTAAATTAAGCCTAAAGAAAGTACAGACAAGGAAACAATGAAAGTAAAATAAGAAATGAGTGAAGTAAGAAACACAAAATGGAAAGAATTGGCAAAAAAAAACTGGGGTCTTTTCCCAAAATATTAATTAAATGGATATACTACCAGCAAGAGTGAACCAGAGAAAATAAAGCAGAAGACACAATATTGTCAGAAATCAGAAGAGATCCAAACAGGTGGTAGAAATAATGAAAACATATTATATCAATCAGGTTAAAATTTACATGAAATGAATAATTTATCTTACCCTAATTGGCACAATTAAAAGTTAGAAAAGTTCAACTTTTGTTTAATTGTTTCAAATATTAATATTTAAATGTCTTTCCAAAAGAAATCTCAAGACACACTCTTCATGAGGAAATTCTTCAGAAGTTTGAGAATGCAAAAATATCAACCATACACAAAACCTTCCAGATAATAGAATAAGAGATCCTAAGTCTTTTTATGAAACTGGTAGCTCAAGTCACAAGGACATTGCAAAGTAAGATAAATTACAGATCAATATATCTTAAGGATAAAGATGAAAAGAGCCTAAGCAAATGTTACCCAGCAGAATCCAACAAGATAAATATAAATACAGTCTTGTATGTATATTATATATGACATTATACATTGCATATTTATATAATATTAATGTATTACATATAATATATTGTTATGTTATTATATTACATATGTACATATATATCACTGATTTCTGTTTGTTTACATTTGTTCAAGCTGTTTACATGTTTTTGTATGGACAATAAGTACATATGTGTGTACATATATTTGTGTGTATGTATATATACATATGTATTTACACACATTATTCAAACAAATAGGGTTAATTACAAGAACTAAGGGTTATTTAACTCCTGAAAATTAATCACTGTTTTGCCATATTCATATTAACAAAAAAGGAAATAAAATTACATAGATCTTTTAAAAGATACCTAAAAGTCATTTTTTAAAAAAATCATCATTCATTTGTGATTTTAAAACCTCTTAGCAAACTAGTGATAAAAACTTCTTTATTCTAATAAATAAAAGCTTCTAACAAATAATGCTTAATTATTTGTAATATGTAAATAATAGGCAGCACACACTTATAATTAGTGGTGAAATATTGAAAGTCTTCCTTTGAAATCAAGAACAAGACAGTAATTTTCATTAATACCACTTCCATTTAAAATTTATTGGAAATCCTAGACTATACAATACAGAAAGAAAAACAAATGAAGGCACAAGGATCAGAGAGGAAGAAATAAAAATATGATATATAGACAGCATGATTGTTAATTCTTAAGACTTAAGTTATATTATGATTATTGGATATAAAATCAATATTCAAAAATCACTAGCATTTCTACATATGTCCAATAGATAAATAGGAAATCAAATTTAATGAACACATTTTTACAATAGCATAAAAACTATAAATATATAGGTAAAATTTTAATGACAGATGAACAAGTACTCTACTTAGCAAAATACATTATTCAAAGAAAAAAACAAATGTGTGTATACCGTGTTCATAGATTAGATAACTCAGTGTTATAAATAAGTTATTTTCCAAATTGATTCATATATTCAATACATTCTTGAAATTATTTTAATTCTACACCACTTTCCATGGAAGTTGAACACCTGAGTCTAAAATTTATATAAAATGCAGAGAGGCCAAGTATTGCCAAAACAATCTTAAAGATGAAACAAATTTGTATGAATTGCAAAACTGGATATCAAGGGTTAATGGCAGTAATTAAAACAGCATTGTATTGACACAAGAATGAAGAGTAGAAAATGGTATAAACTTTATTAAGGAACACTTGATTTTTTAACATAACAATAAAGAGTCTTTATTAAATATTTCTAGATTCATAGGTTATCTATATGTAAAAAGAAATATTTTGTCCTTAACTTACACTACAAAAGTGAATTCTAAGTATATTTTATATCTCACTGTGAAAGGGTAAGCATTAGGTATTCCAAAAAATAACATAGCAGAATATTTTCATAACATTGGAGCAGGTAAAGATTTCTTAAACAGGACATAAAACCAGTACCCATAAAAGAAGTTTTTGATTAATTGCTCGACATTCAAATTATGAATTTCAGATTTTAGAGGTGCATCATTAATAGAGTAAAAGGACAAGCCACAGTGTGTGAAAACATGTCTGCAATTTACATTGCTCACAAAATACTTTTATCAATATGTAAAGAAATCCATTAGAAAAATGAGAACTCAAAATAAGTGGATAAAAGTTATAACAGGCACCACATCAAAGAGATCCAAATGGCCAATACATATATATAAAGATGATTAACCTCACTATTTATCAGAAAAATGCAAATTAATATCATAATGTGATTCCATTATACCCTACCAGAATCCTTGAAATAAAAATGGCTATCTTATCGAGTCTTAGCAAGGCTGGGGAACACTGATTTTTCATATGTTTATGAGGGAGGTATAAATTAGCAAACCACTTAGGAAAACTCTTCAGCAAACAGCAATATCTGTATACTTTTAGATGTATATACAGCAAAAAATATGTAATATTTGTACCAAAAACCATACAACTATATGTACACAACTTCATTCATAAGATCCCAAAAGCATAAACAACCAAACGCCCACAAACTTGGATAATTAATATACAACATTATGTCTTCACACAATGGAGTCTAGATTGCTATAAAAACGTGTATGGACAATTCTATTCAACATATGGCTGAATCTCACAAACCAAGTAATGAGCAAAAGAAGCCAGAACCCTCCCCTTCCAAAAAAATGCATACTAAGTGATCCCAGTGGTTATACTTTGGAAGACATAGAGGATAGTGGCCAAGAGAGACATGCAGGGGCTTCAAAGGTACTGGCGATGTGCTCTCTCCTGATTTCTGTGATGATTATGTAGTTCTGTTCACTTGTGGGTAAGATGTACACTTACTTTGTATTCATTTGATTGTGTATGTGTGCGTGTGTGTGTATGTGTGTGTGTGTAATATTACAGCAAGCTTTTGTTTAAAGATTGAATGTTTGAATAATTGGGCATAAACCAATGTGGTCAATTTCTAAAGGACAAAGTGCTAACATGCATTAAAAGTCTAGACATTTTCACATCCTAGGATGCGGAAATTAGGTCAAAAATAGAAAATTATCAGATATTTCTTTTAGGTTTCTAATTGTGTTAAATAAACTGTTGAATTATATTCAACAAAACCTTTTTGAGTATTAAAAGCTGAAGTGATTTTAATTTTTCCTTTTTTAATGTAGTTTTTGTCAGTGCATTATAATTATGCATAATAGCGAGACTCATTGTGCCATATTTGTTACATGTGTATAACATAATTTGATTAATCTCATTTCCCCATTTTTTTTTCTGGGGAGAGCACGAACACTGTCTCCCACTACCACAAATTATGCAGTTGAATTTCTTGCATTTGGGGAAATCCCAGGGGTCAGCACATCTGGAGGGCAATGGATAAGCCTCGCCCTGGGAAAACCACCTTTGTGATCATGGTATCTCCCCTGCCAGGTAATTATCATTCCCCCATTTTTATTATCCTAACTTTGTTTTCTATAGCAACAACACTATGTAAGCGTATTTGTTGACTCCTCTTCTGGTATTTTTTAAGAGCAGGGGACCTGTGGGTTCTTATAATTGGCCTGATTCTGGGGGTTAAGGAAGTATGGATATGTACGGTACTGAAGGGTACCTCCTATTGTTTCATGTTTAGGTTTCTGGCAGGGGAATGAATTATTTTATTCTGTCTGTCTAGCTCCCCTAATTCTGTGATCCAAAAGGCCTTTTGAGTCTGGGAGCTGACTTGCTCTGTCATACATTTTTGCAGAGATAGCCTTTAATTATTTTTTTCTGGAACATTTTCCCATGGAAAGCAGCACGAGGTGGAAGTATCTGGGTATCCAGGAGGTGATCCAATGATGAATCTAATCACTCTCTTCTGGGTCGTATCAGACTAAGCACAAACTATCATTAACCACATGAATTCTGAATCTGGGAAGTTACTAATGTGCAAAATATGGTGTTTGCAACTCAGGTGCAGTTTCTATTTTTTCTCTTTAGAGGCATAACCAGACAGAGTAGTAGGATAAGTAGGATTATGCCAGTACTGGCAGGATTTGAACTTTGGGCGATAAGACTGTTTCAAAGTAATTTCGTACATAGCCCTGTATCCTGCTGGGGAGAGCAGGAACACTGTCTTCCTATAAATGCTCATCTACTCATTCAGTGAAGCTAAATACTGTTGCCATCTAGCCATCAACTTTGATTTTTACATGTAGAGATCTGGAGATGATAAAGCTGAATCTCTTTTAAAGAATAACTTCCTTGGAGTCAGGGAGATTATGGTCAAAGGACACAAAATTTCACTTAGGAACAATAAGTACAAGAGATCTATTGTACAACATGGTCACTACAGTCAGTTAATGTGTTCCTAAAAATTGCTGTGAAAGTAGATTTTAAGTGTTCTCATTATAAAAAGTAATCAGAACGTGAAATATGCATGTTAGTTAACTTCATTTAGTCGTTCCACAATAGACACATTTGAGAGTGTTGTTTGTGATAAATACATACAATTTTTATTTGTTAATAGAAATAAAGAGAAAATGAAAAAAAAATATTTCTGTTGAGTATGTACCTTGACCCAGCACAGGGATATTCTTTTTACAACCTTACAGGGTACTTAGTAAAACCCTATTCCTAGGCACAACAGTTGTCAATGGTTACATGACTTGTTCAAGCACATTTTTAGTAATTAGTAAGGTCAGATCAGAATCCTCATCTCTCTATGCCAAACTAATTTTTCTTTTTTGATGGACCCTTGTTCTCCTCTTTTCAATAATGTTGTTAGACTGGCCTTTCCCAACATTTAGACAGTGATTTTCTGTAGGTGGGGTGACAGACTTGATTTTCATAGCCCTGTAGGCGTGCTACACCGACCCACAGAGTCCAGTGGCACACCCAGCCCAGAAGAGGCAGGCTGCCTGGCTTCCCTGCCCACCTCCCTGCCCTCTCTGCAAAGGGCACAGCTGATGCTTCCAGGGCACTCTCGCAGTGACTGGAGTGGAAAGACACAAAGAAGTCAAGCTGAGCAGCTTTTAATGCTTCTAATTTCCACGCATTGTATACTTACTTTCCCTCTAGAATTGACATTCATTTTAGGAAAGTGCAAAGAAAGTTCAGTTCCTCACAGTACATCCCAAATTTCTCGATTGGGGGAGTTAGTTCTCAGAATTTCCAGCTGTGACTCCTATGTGACTTTCACGATCTCTCCCCAGGGCAGTCTGTGGGGAGCATGCTGAAGTCACACTCAGCCTGCCATCAGTGTCTTTATTTGAACCTAAAAACTGCTCAGTGAGTCCTTTGAGGACAAGGGCAACAGTTGACTAGCTTCCAGATGCTTGGCATAGTGCCCACAATGTAGTAGGTGATGGTTAAAGGACTGCGGCGTAAGTCACTGTGCTGTCACCATTCCTTTGCCAAGCACTTCTGAGTCCTCTGCCTGTTAAATTTTCAAGCTTGATAGAATTTGAATAAAAAACACACAGTCCCCAATTTACAGTGATTCAATATAACATTTTTTCAACTTCCTAATTATCCAAAAGCAATACATATTAAGTAGAAACCATAGTTTGATTTTGAATTTTGGTAGTTACCAGAGCCAATGATAAGCCATACCGTAGTCTCTCATGACACTGGGCAATCAGCCCACGACCATGGAGGTGGAGAATCAAAGCTCTGTAGTGTGCATGTTGCTAAGCTATGATGTTCTGCAGGTTAGGTGTTTCAAATGCATTTTTGAACTGCAGTATTTTCTTCTTTCAATGGGCTTATCAGGACTTATCCCCACTATAAATTGAGGAGCATCTGCAGTTGGAATGATATAAGTAGAAATCTCACACCCCATTTTACAGGTGAAGAGTCTGAGGCACATGATAAAGCCAAGAGCTACATAAGCAGAACCAAAGAACAGAGGCAAAGATAGATCAGAAATTATCAACAACTCTGTTCCCTCTTGCTTGGAGGACCCCCTTCCATTTCTCTGTCTGATTCACTTTTTCTTTTCTTCTTTCCGATCTTACTATTTCAGAAGTTCCTCTTCTTTTAAACCAGTCCTGAAGGTACTGGCAACACAGTGTCAAAGATGCAAAAGCCCCTTGGTAAGGTTTGGATGTGGGTGTGGCTTGTCTCCCAAGGGGTCATATACTGGAATTGGTCCCGGTAGCTTAGTTGAGGTGGAGGGACCTTTAAGAGTTAAGGTCTAGTAGAAGGTGACTGGGTCATGGGTACCCCCTTCAAAATGCCGTCTTAAGAGAGTAGATCAGTTCTTGAAGGAGTGTGTTAGTTCACACAAGAGTGGGTTTTCTCAAAAGAGTGAACCCAGTCTTTTTCATTCTCTTGCTTCCTGTCTCACCATGTGACTTCTCTCACCCTCTCATGTGCTCCCACAGTAATACTATCTGCCATGTTGTGATGTAGACCGAAAGCCTTTACCAGAAGCAGAACTGATGGGGTTTCCTAGTCTTTGACTTTCAGACTCCAACACTGTAAGCTAAATAAGACTCTTTTCCCAGCATCAGGTATTCTCTGATAGCAGCACAAGTGGACTAAGACACCATGTCTTTATCAAAATAAGAACAAAGACCAAAGTGGAGAGGAGTGAAGTCCTCTCCTACTTAAGTTCCTGATGTTTCTTGGTCCATATTTGTTCCCATGGGGTTGTTGGAGCATAACAGAAAAACAGTGTGGAGTTGTGGAATTTTCAATAAATACTGACCACCAATCCTATGCTGGGATTGTGGATTATTTGGGTAAGAAGACAAATATGCTGTGTTTATGGAGTCCACAGGATTACACCCAGTGGGTAGGCCTTTGTTGAATGAATAAAAGCAGGGCTAATTAGTGTTTTACATTAGTTCATGAGTACTTTCCATGTGCTAAACACTAAGTTCAATGAGTTTCATGCATTATTTGAAAATGAATGGTAGGCAACAGAGCTAGAAAGTCAAACCATGCCCATGTCTGTTTTATTCTAAAGCCCAAACAATTAGAAAAAAAAAGTAAAATGTGGGACATAAACCAAGTCAAATGTATGACACATAGTAGGCAGCATGGTTGAGTGGAACAAATCTGGATTTGGAGTCAGAAGGACAAGGGGTTGTGTCTTACAGTGTCTACCTCTAATTGTCTGTGATGATCAGCCACAGGGGTGAGTCCATGTCAAAGCACAGCCTTATCAGGCAGGAAACTACTTCATTCTTAGTATCTGAAAGAAAGACATTGATAGAATTCCATTGCACTGATTTGGCCAAAAACATCCTTTTTTCGGTCAAGCACTCTTCCAGAATTTTAAGAAATAGACTGAGATGGACAGATCTGCAAGAAGCAAATAGCTGATTAACAATACCATTCTCACCTATAACACTACTAACATGACCTGAAGCACACTGCTCTGTGTCCTTCAGTACCCTGTTCAAAGCCTTTTTTTCTATTTTATGAGGAAGAAAACCATAGCTCACAGCTCCATAGCCAGTGGGTGGGAGAGCCTGGACTTGATCCCAGGCCCTGCTTTCTGACGCTCCTTCTCAGGAAAGCATCCTCAACCCAGTCCAGACTTCATTTAGGTGGACCAAAAGATGTCATCTGAAGATGAGCTTTGATGAGACTCAAAGCCCTCAAAATCTGAAGACTCTGTTTAATTGGGAAGCAGTCTCAATTAAGATAACAGAATTATTCTAATACAACTCATATAGTCTCTGGGCCTCCCAGATCTTCTACTAATAAAAACTCTATTCTGATCATTGTTTTCATGGGGTTGTCTTTGCTGAGTGAGGTAGAAAGACCACCTTTTGTCAACTGACACAGCTCGGAACTGTACTGACTGATGCCCAGCCAGCCTGGGTGTGTGAGTATGTGACTAAGCCTTGCCTTAGGCAGATACGATGCCTTCTAAGAACTCTAATGCTCCAAGGAGACTAAGCAGTGGTGACTGTCCAGTGTCTGAGGCAGGGTTTCTCAACTTCAGCATTATTGACATTTGGGGCTGGATGATTATTGGTAGAAGGAGGCTGTCTTCCTCACTGCATGATAATTAACAGCATCCCTGGCCTCTAACCACTACCTACCAGCTGCACCCTTCTTCGAGTTAAGATTTCAAAAAAATGTCTCAGACATTGTCATATGCCCCCTGATGGGCACAGCTGCCTCTGGTTGAGAACCATCACTCTCAGAGAACATTTCTTTGGAGAGGGATTAGTGAATTCAAGTATTTATCCCTCCTTAGTATGGTAGACTTCTCTCCCATCTCTGCCAGCCTTGTGTACTACCAATACTCTAACTCAGGATTGGCACAGGCTTAAAAGGAAGGGAGCACGTCTTATCCCTGGCTTCACCTCTGTCTCCTGTGGCAGTCACTATGTGTGACCTGATTGGCTTTTGGAGCACATAACTCAGTGATACAAGTGAACAAAGAAATCAAGCAGTCCCTGTCCCTGTGGGATTAGTACCCTCGACCCAGATAAGC